ATTTCTTATAAATATTTAATTAAAACACACATCTATTATATATTTTAATACGAAAGCTTGACAAACAAAGAATATATTAATAAATAGTCATTAGAAAGGATTATCACTGGTCAATATTACCGACAGACAACGATAAATCTAGTTCAAAAATCCGATTAACCCAACCCAACCTAACGCGAAATAACCTAACCTGAAGTAACCCGATGTCTGATCGAGTTGTAAAATTGTCAAACCGTATATATTGGGTTGATATTGGATTACTATTATTTGAACCCAACCCAATCCAACCCGATGAACCCGATATCCTTTTATTTCTTGGATTTAATATGATTGATGAATTTCTATTAATATATACATTAGACAATTATATTATCATGTATGTTTTTTATATACACATATTTTCAATCTATTCACATCTCTATATAACTCATTATGTTCAGTAACTGTGAACATATATATGTAAATTGAGAAAATTAACTAAATATGATATACGTAAGAAATATGGATAAGTCGTATCAAATGGTTGATGATGAAAAAGAAATTATGAGTAAAGAAATAACATATTCAAGGTTAGAATAATATTTTAATGTACCAAAGTATCAACCCGACTAACCCGTACGGGTTGGGTTGGGTTGGGTTGCACTTTGGTTTGGTTTGGGTTGGGTTAAGATTTTTCAAACCGCAAACATTGGATTGAGTTGTTCAAATGTCTTCAACCTGATCAACACAACCCAATGAGCACCCCTAGATAAATCACCAGCCAATACTTGACTACATGTAATTTTTCCGACTAAGCAACAATTCGTCAGTGATTTTAACAATTATTAATGGTAGATAAAATGATTTTGTTTTTTTAGTTACCTTTTCGAGCGGTCATCGGTGATATTTGGCAAAAAAAAAAATAAGTTATAGAAAATACGGTATTTTAGATTATTTATAAAAAATCAAAATTACTAATAGAAATTCATCGTTAAGATTATTTAAAAAAATAAAAATTCACTCAAAAATCCGTCGGTGATGTCTTTACAAATCATATTCTCTTCAATAGACTTTCACTGTAAAATCCAATTTTCATCCACGGATTTTTAGAAGCCTTCTGTTTTGTAGTCAATCACAACCAAAATAAAACTATTTGACATGCCTAACTACAAAATAATACTATAAACAACACCAACCATTAATTAAAAAATCTAGTAAACTGACCCATATTCTACAAGACGTAACCCTTTTTATTTCATGGAAATTTGTTTTGTACAACTTAATTGATAAACCGTATTTGGTTCAATATGATAATAAAGTTATCATGAAAATATAAAATATGTGTATCTGTAGAATTAGTAAATACAAAGTTTAGCATTGAAAATTTATGTAATAGTGGACAAGAAATAATATATCTGGTATATTCTCTTTTACTGTAAAAAACCAGTATAATATACTGAAAATGAATTACTATTTACATCAAAATGGAGCAAAATTTAATGTTTTACATTAGAGATGCCTAACAAAAGTCTTAGGTCAGGCTTTTCAATATCTTTTGTTTTAATGCAATAACATCCCATCTGATGGTAGTGGCATACGATGACTTTCGACCACCGACACTATAACTAATACCAATTATTTTCTTGATAATATAAGATTAAATTTTTATAATTATTTACATCATTGTCATATCATGTATGTATCCTATTTATTTACATTAATATCATATAAGTTTTTAACATTATTATAGTGATTTATATTTATTTATTTAAATATATAAATTTGTAACCACAAATATTAAAATATATTTTTAAATGCACTTATAAAACATGCATCGTTGAAAATCATGTTGCTAAAGTCTTTGCACTTATGTAACCGGCATTGCGATATCACTTTGAAAGATGACGTGGATGGTGGTATACATATATGGTTGACTTAAACTCAAGGTATAACTTTAAAGCATCTATAATATATTTATAAAAAAATTAAAATAGAAAAACAATTTTTTTTAAAACAATTGAATTTAATATTTATAGAAACTTTAAAATAAATAATCGGGCTTATACATAACCTGTTCTGGTCTCAAGCCAGGCTGAACTGTGTTTTAATTATTTCATAAAATGTGTAAGAGGTTCCAGACTATCTGGTTACAAAACACATAGACCGGACCATGGGATTTTGGTTGGGACCAGGACCGATTATGTCTTGAATGGTTACGAAAAGCAATTTTGGAACCGGGGTTCGACCCGGTCCAACCGGCTATGACCGATTTTTAGCCATCTCTATCATGAAGTCCCCGACTAGATCCCTAACATCAAATAAATCTAGTTGGCCCATCAATCTAATTGCAAATGTACTTCCAAAAATAGGCCCAAAATGATAAATGAGTTATGAGGTAACTGGAGCTCAACTAAATATTGTAGCCTACCTGATCAAAGCCCACGAGAAATATATAACAAAAGATATGGGCCATAAATTGAACAAGTGCTTACCAGGTAAATTGTTGTATAAAATACGTTTTGACGTACTATAATCTTACCCGATAAAATAAATTATAGTGTTGACTTTTAACGGTAAGTCCTTACCGGGTAAGCATTTAGGTAAACGACCCCTTAGTTAATTTTTTTAAATAATGACATTGGATTTTTTTATAGTTAGTTGGCTTTTTAAAGATAAAATTTTTAATGCCACATCATCAATAACCTAATATTTTTAAGTCATTAGTTAAACCAGCTACTTAAATGTTTGCGATACCACATCTCAGATATCAAATAAAGATTTTTAAAATATGTTACCCAACATATGAACTAAAACGAAGTTCATTGCATATTTATATAATTTACCCTCATATAAATGTTATAAGTAAGAGAGTTTCATGCATGCTATACGGGCTAAGCACCAACCGTCCTTAGGAACTATTTGGTTGGTTTTCATTAGATTGTGTATGAATAAAATTGTCTGTATGAATTAATTTGTCTATATGGATTGTGAATGTTTTTGTTTGGAAGAGTTTTTTATAAATGGAATAAGCGTCTTTTTTAATTAAGAGGGGTAACTTGAAAGACTTTTCTTTCTACGTAAAGCTCTCCCCTACAATCTTAATGAATAAGTCAATTTCTATATCATTAAGCTACTACGAAACAATCACGTATAGCTGATTGTATACACTGTCTTATTAAGCTGCCAACAAGCAGATCTTTATTGTCTTTGCCACTAGTTGCTAGTTGAAATACTAATTTATTAAAATCTAACTACTTAATTATGTGATAAAATGACTTAAAATCGGCTAGGCTAATTGCATCTCTCTACATTGCTAAATGTACTCATACCTAATGGTTCTCTCATCACACACATCAATATCAAAACTCACTTTTTTATATTCTCAATGCATATATCGACTTGATTTTAACATTAAAGGTAGGGGGACATCGGAATTAGGCACCTGCTTTTGGAACCGGGACCGCACCGGAACTGCCATTTCCGGAACCGATCGAGACTGGTTCTGGTTCTCATTTTTTGGAATCGTTAACCGCTAGGTACTTGTCGGGACCAGTTCCGAGACCGGATATCCAAAACTAGAACCAACGGGTACCCGGTATTTTAAAATATATATATTTTTTATATGTTTATTATATTTAATAAACTAAAATTGAAATTATTTAATTTACCTTTTAGGGTTACACTTACCTCCGCTTCTTTAAGGGTTAGATCAGTTCTCTCTGCCTCTTAGTCTCTTACTATTCCACAATCGCCTCCATAATCAACCTACGTTCTCACAAATTTCATTCGCTTGTCATTTACTTAGTATGTAATTTTTTGTTACTGTGAAGAGTTTTTATCAAATTGTTTAGTTTTTATCGGATTAGTTTTCATTGTTTGTAACATTTATTATTTCTTTACATTGGTATTTTGTAATAAACTAATAATTACTTTTATAGTGTAAAATGATGATTTTTTAAAAAAAATTAGACACCAGGTACTTGGTACCGTAACTGGTTCCAAGCAATTTTGAGACCGATCAAATACAAAAAACCGGTATAACCGGTTCCTTCATTCGAAGAACCGTTTCTGCCGATTCCGGTTCTAAAACCAATTTCTAAATTTTGGTCGAATAACTACCTTTTGGTCACTCCTAATTAAAGAAACTTAAAAAAAAAAAGTTAAAATCCCTCCCTAAATATGGAATATATATTTAAAAAAGTTAGAAAACGGAGCAAACCGGCCGGTTCTACTTTACCCATTAATTATACCGGGCTAACTTAGTTTCAAGTTTCAACCACTCAGATAAGATACGAGAACCAAACAGAGCTCGCTCTTCCTCCGTCTGCAGGGAGAGAAGATAAGAAAGTGCTCCCTTTTTTCTCAATTCAAGAAGAGGGTGTTCTCTCAAATGGCGGTTTTTGCCACTCTATGCTTCGCTCCTTCATTTACTTTCTCTGCAAACCAAACCCATAACCCTGCCATTCTATCTCACCATCATATTCTTGGTCGAGGGTCGACAACTATAAGAACAAAACGTCTTGCTCTGGGCAACGATTCTCTGGGTGACTTTGGTGCTAGAGACCCTTTTCCAGCAGAGATAGAGACCAATTTCTGTGACAAAGTGGGTGTTTATGACACTGAGCACAAGATTCTAATCCCTACTGTTGCTGCTATGTCTCTTTCTCAACAAGAATGCACTCCAATTTCCCATCTGCGGTTTCCGATTCCCGAGGAGGATGCGCAGAAGCTATTGAGAAAGGTTAATTTCACAATACCCTTGTCGTATTATTGGGGGATTTTAATAATCTTTTTGCTTAATTTTGTGTTACGGGTGTTGGTGTTGTTGAAGGCAAGAATTTATAGCTGTTATGTATGATTTGGAAATTAAAAATCCAAATGAATTTGTTGGTTTTGAAGAAATTGTTTATAGCTGTAGAAACGTTACAACATAAGCTACAAATAGAGAGAACATTGGGGTTGAGTTCATAATGAATTCCACTGTAGTTTAGAACTTGCAAGGTCATAGGTATGACTTCAAAAGTCAAAGAAGTCTCATCTTCTTTCACCCACAGCCTGGTGAATTCATTTACCTCTGCTTGTGGAATGGGGGACTGTGGATCCTTGTAAGGCTGTAGGTGGCATATAAGATAACATTGCATGGATGAAACAAGATTGTTGTAAAATTTTCAGAAAGCCTTAAAGTTCATAGATTTGGAGCTTGTAAGAATTCTAAGTGTGGCAATGGATGAGACTTACCTTGGGCTGATTAGGGTTTTGGAGAATGAAAGTTAATGATCCTTGGTTTTTGTGTTGAGAGAAGACTACAATTTCTTGTTTATGAAGTTTCGTCGTTTCTTGTTATTAGTTGCATTAACGGATAAAAACTAGTGATGCCGTGATCTCTAAGTAAAAACTAAAGGACCATTGATGATAAACATGCAGAAGCTTTGAGGCATTTAACATCGAGTGAAATCTAATATGAGAAATAGAAGTACAAAGGGGAGATCAAAAGCTCATTCGATAGGAATAGATTGACCATCCCTTGCAAGCTTTGAATGTCAACCGGCCTATAAAAGGTTCGTTTTATCCGCCAGAAAAGATTGATTAGCATTATGATTTCACTTGTTTGCCTTGCCCATCCTGCATGAGAGCACCTCCTCTGCTTCCTAGTTATAAGCCTTTTCTCGAGATACAAGAAGCTATAGCTTAGCACTTGGTCGCCCTCCTGAGGCCAAAACTAGTCCTATGCTTTTCTTGCCAAAAACTACTGTGCCCATTGGAAAAGATGTCCTGATTATCCCCCTATCCATTGGACCCAATGCTTAAATATTGATTTGCTCAAAAATTTGACCCGTTCATTTTGAGCTCAACCTCTACATGTATGATACGCGGAAAAAATATCCAGCTGAGTCTCTAACTCAGGACTCGGCATTTAATATACTACAGAGTTAGTCAACTGAAGTAAAACAAGCAACATTTATATCTATTCGTTTTTGGGAAAATTGGCTGGAAACTAATAGTATCTTTTATTTCATATCTTCGTACTCACTGCAATTAGTGACTTGTAACACATCGACACATTCACGTGATCATCTCTAGATTTATTCCTTCTTTTGCTTAGCGGCTTTTGAGAAAGGCTGATTTTAGCATTTCTATCCGCTGTTCTTTAAGATTTTAATTAGTAGTGTGATGTTCTTGCTTAGTTATCTGTCAGGTGTTGCTGTTGAAATGAGTTTTTACTCCCAGCATTTATCTAATTTCTCCCTTGACATTCGGGGAAAATTTCAAGTTTTGAGTTTTGATTCGTTCCTTATTTACTAATAACTGACTCGTGGTTGTGAGAGAGCAACACTTTCATAACTTTGTAATCTGTTTTTCCGAAAGGTCTAAAAAAGAGTAACTGTTCATGCTTTTTGTGGAACAGTGGACTAGTCTTTGATTCAAGAAAATCTTGTTGTGTATCCTTTAGGTTATTGGGTGGAGACTGGTAAACGAAGACGGAAAGCTAAAGCTACAATGCTTGTGGAAGCTTAGAGATTTTGAATGTGGGGTAGAACTCATAAACAGAATCTTCAAGGCTGTAGGATCTACAGGCCATTTTCCTAACCTTCACCTGGAACAGTCCAATCAAGTTAGAGCCGAGCTGTGGACTTCTTCCATCGGTAACCACCATTCTTGTTAATCAATTTATGGGTTCGTTAAGAAAATGTTCGCAGATACCCAGCTTCTAGTTCATAGACGATCTTAATTATTTTCTCCTCAACTTTTTGTTGGTACTTGCAGGAGGCTTGAGCATGAACGATTTCATTGTCGCTGCAAAAATTGACGACATTAGAACTTCAGACCTTGTTCCCAGGAAAAGAGCTTGGGCATAATCTGCAGAAAAACTGTTCTATCAAGAACAATGACTCGTTGATATGATTTTATCGACATACTCGAGTCCGAGGTGTAACAATCCCAGATATAAGTAAATGCATATATATCGAATAACGGTTGCATAATATCATATCTATTTCATTAATAATAATAATACCTGCGAACAAAACAAACATTTCTTTCTCATAGGGATGTTCATTCTTCTATCTTAAACACTTCGGTTTTCCGACACAAAAATACCATAATCGAAAATCAGAATGACTTTAATATATGTAGTTGTTAAACTGCCATACTTTCTCCTAGTGAGGATAGGGAAGATTGATCACGAAGCCTGAGATTTTGGGGGTACCACACATCGGACAGACCTTAACCTTCTCATCACAAGCCAAACAGACGCATAAATGTCGACATGGAAACCACAGCATGTTTGCAGGTCGATTCATGCAGTTCTTGCATTTCACATCAACCCCTCTCACACTATAATTTGGTTCTAAAGATGACGCAACTTCTTCCTGCTCACCACCGGCAGTGGAGGCGGCGGTGCTGCAAGTAACTCCTGCATCGGCCAACCTCCGCTGGACTATGTCCTCTAGCATAGTCGTCCTCCCCATATAGAAATTGTACATTCGTCTGAACCTATCCAGCAGCTTTTCTTTATGTTTCAGGCTTGCTTCAATCGCATGTCTCTTTTCTATTTCTTCGGTTAGGGTTTTCATCCAGAGTTCCAGCACATTGTTCCGAAATTGCTCCGTCTGCATGAACATGAAAAAAGCTCCATAAATTTGAGTCAAATCGAACTTCACATAGAACCCTATTAAGAAGTTGTGTTGCGTTACCAAACGAGAGTACATATCAATATTGCCTACAGGTTCTTCTTGCTGAATCTGTGGCCCATTCACCTGAGCAGGAACTTCTGGTGGAGGATAGGGTACTTCTTCCACATCCTTGACGACAGTGATGCTGGTCCTCTTACGCGCCATATTTCTGAAAATTCGATCAAAAAGAGTTAGGGTGATAAAACAAGAGATAAAGCAATACCCAGATAAGAATCTAATGAAAAATTTGAGGTGGCGTTGGCGATCTACCAACGGAATTAATATATAACGACGGCCAACGATGGCCAACGACGGCGAGGTGGTGATTGAAAGAGAGACGCGTCGCTATCAACTCAGGACGATTCTTGCACTGGATTGATTCCATCAGTAGGGTATATATATACACAAGAATGGTACAAAAGATTCGAAATTCTTTGGATTATTTCCGACGACACAAGGAGTTTCCGACGAACATAAATGGTTTTCCGACGTGGAGTAATATCATAAGCTGGTTTTGTGGGGGTAAAGTTGTAATTTACTGATCCAACAAGACGATTAATTGACAGAGATATATAAATTGCTAACTACACCCCTAATTATTATATTCTTTTTATTTTTTTGTTATCTTATTTTTCTATTATTTTTATTACTTAAATATTTATATTACAATTGAATTAATAAAATTATTAATTAATTTTTTTTTATTTTCTTCTCCAAGGTAATTAGTTGATATATTTTTGGGCTCTTATTATCTACTAAATTCTTTTAGACTTTTA